CATTTCTACCTTCTCCTCTCTGTCAACGCTCTCTGGTTTCATTTAAAAGAGTCGATCATCAGATATTGTCCAAGATTATCCTTCAGGGTGGATACAGATCGCTAGCAGCCTCATGCCGATGACATAGTTGATGTCATCATTTACCCAGAATGCTTTGCGTGTAAATAAAATGGCCCCGTCCATGTTAAAATATATTTTTAAACATTTAGTTTAAAATTTTAAAAAACTGAACAAAATTTTTACAGTCTTTATTTTACAGTTAAAGTATATGTTTATCATATAAAGTCTAATGTTGCAACTAATCAGGGATCCCTTTAAAGAGCTGATGAAATCAAGCACCAGTCAGTTTTTTWAGCTTTATTTTAAACTCTTATCAAGCAGTTCTAATGTTAACTTGTTCAGACAATATTTACCCAGATGTACCTTTGGTACTGGCACTATTTTTACCTGATTATAAAAAAATGACATTTAAGTGTTCAGCACTGAGACATCCTTCTTAACTTTACAAGCTGTGAGCTGCAGATAAACCAGTGAAAATTATCAGACACACAGATATAGAAGAACTCCATACTACAGTATATCACTAATTATCCTGAAAACCTGCAGATTTACYACTCCTCAAACACCCTCCRAGCCTTGTTCTCAATGCRGGGAACATTACTGATGTTGGAAATCTGTAAATATTAGGAGCTTATACAATTATAAATTGAAATCTCTCACATTCTTTCCTGAGTAAAAACTTTTTCATTTAACTTCTGTTTGATTTTTCCACCGGGGTGTCAGCTTGTTTTGTGAAAAGAATAAAAAAAAAATTCTACAATTTCTGACTTATTAGAAATTTCTACCTTTAGTGTTTTAAGACAACTTCAGAAATACCTCCGCGGGGCTTTTTCTCCTGCCCSCTCGGTGTGGTTCTCCTCCCCCTCTCCTTGCATGTCTGGCACCGTGGCCACCAGGTCTTTGAGGAAATCAAACTGTTGCTCCAGCTCGATGCACTGCTTTCTGCAAAACAAAGATAAGCAGTTTCCAGTCACTGCTTCCAGACGGGCTCCGCTGCCCTCTGAGCAGAGCCGAAATATCCGACAGAGAGTTCAAAGAGAAATCAGCAAAGTTACAATTTAACACCGACGAGTCGTGTAATAACCCTCTTCTGAAATCTGCAGTTTATCAGTGACTAAATAAGCTTCTAAAGGACAATGGGTTTGGTTACGTTTGGTGAATCTGATCATGAGACTCATGATGTTCTTTAGCCCAGCAGAAGGTTTCTCTCTACTCAGCTGTGACCATTGTGGACACAAATAAACACACAGGTCCATCTTCTGTTTGAATGAGCTGTAAAGAAAGGATTCGTTTCTGAAACATCAACCTTTTTTTCTGGTGATCTTTGTACAACAGCTTTGTTCTAAAAAAAATAAATAAATAAAAAAAAAGAAGACAACGTTCTACAAACATTTAAAAAGACAGAACTTTCTAAAAAATAAAAATAAAAAAGAAGACAGAACGTTCTTAAAAAATAAATAATAAAAAAAAGAGAAACTTACAGGTGTGACGTCGTCATCGTCTTRGCGTTCCTCGACTGGGTGACGTGACAAGCCTTCGTCAGCAAAGACTCTAAGAAAAGCTCAAGAGCTCTCGCTGAAACAGCGGTGAAGGAAATGAGAATGCTGCTGAAAACATCAGTGTGATCACTGATGCAGGAAGTGACCTGCAGGGCTGGTCGTCTGTCTGAAGGCTCTGTCACACTGAAAAGTTTAGACACATCTACGCTGAACATGAAACTAGCCTCTTTTAGGCGTGTATACAGTAATGCTAACAAACTGATCAAACATCTAACTTATTAGTAATTTAGTGCAATTTTTTTCATAAGTTTTCTCAAACTTAGAAGTGTGACAGGGTGTTCCAAACACACAAAACATGGGACATTTTCCTGGGTGGTGAGCGCACCGAAGCTAAAGGTTAACTATATATTAGGGTTGGGTGATATTGACAAAAAAATTAATCACGATTAATTGTGGTATTTAGCCGATAACGATTAATTTGACGATTAATCCCCAGGAGTCCCTGGACACCCTTATGTCCTGGTCACATGACTAATTTAGTTGGAAAGATTTGCTCTTCATAAAAATCTGTTCCAAACTGTCAAAATTATAGACAGGCTATACA